TCGTTGGTGGCTTCGTCCTTGTTGAAGCGGGTGTCGAGTGAGATAGAGTTGACCTTTAGCGGAGCCCTTTGTTCTTCTGTCGGAGCAGGTTGTGGTTTAGGTCGAGTAGTAGCAGCTATTTTGGCAGGCCGCGCCCCAGTGTCGAATGTACTATGTCCTTTGGAAGCCGTGTAGAAACATCTCCTAACAGCTGAGATGTCCCCGTTAATGGTGGCGACGCGTCCCCTTCTTGTGTAGAATTTCATCTTCAGATGGACAATGGAGGGCACGACCATAAATTCGGCCAGTGTCGGTCTCCCTAGGATGAAGTTATAGAGAGATGGGCAGTCAATAACCAGAAATAGCACCTTGATCTGTTGGGAGGCGGTTTCTTCCCCGAAGGTGACAAAAATCTCAACGTATCCCCCTGGTTTGGAGGTCGAGCCATTGAAGCCTTGCAGGTCGGACCACATGTATGGTGAAAGGTGGGTGTCGTCGAGCTGTAAGGTTCAGAACATATGGTTGTACATGACATCGACGGAACTCCCCTCGTCGACCAGAATGCGGTGTACGTCGAAATTAGCCATTCTTTCTTGCACCAGCAGAGGGATGCTCGATTTATGGACCCCTACGGGAAACTCCTCAAGGTAAAAGGTGATTGGTTCTAATTTTTCCTTGACCCTCTCGAGTGTCACCGCTTAAGTTAGGGTTGCATCGACCAACCCGTCGAGCTTCCTTTTCGTGGAGTTTATGGAGAGGTCATTGAATCCCCCGCCGGTTATAACCATGGCGGAGGGGAATTTCTCCCACCTATTGTGCATGGACAGAGGTTCTTTCTCGTATCTGACAGGGACGTAGAAGTCCTCTGACCTTGTCATGGAGAAATCTATCCGAATGAGGGACGCCTTATCTGATGGTCGAGTTTCTTCCTCGGCCTATTTTATCTAACGGGTATCCCGATGAGGGGCATCATTGCATCGGTAATGCCCGAGTCTTCCACCTTTGATGAGGGTTTCAATGGCGTCCTTGAGGTGGACGCAGTCTTCAGTTAGGTGCCCGTGACTCCAATGGTACTAACAGTATTTACTCATGTCAGCCTCGGGCTTCGCAGGAGCAGATCGAGGACGTCTGACGCCATTGTCCTTAAAGTCGGTATTGGAGCACTCCTTCAGGATGCGCTCGTGGGAAGCAGTCAGCAGAGTGTATTTGGTGAATCGTCTTGTGGGTCCCCTGTGCTCACGGGGATCACGCGGTTTATCATCCCTTCGCTTCTCGCCCGTTCGTCGAGGAGGGCATGCGTCCTGGTGTCGCAGGGTGTTGGTCAGTCTGCGATTCCTCGGGCCGCGGGGTTTATTGGCCGCTTCCCTCTCCTCGTAGTCCATATAGGCCATAGCTTTTTTGAGGAGAGCATCGAAAGTCCAGGGTGGTTCGATGCCGACGGCCTTCCTGAACTCAGTGCCCGGGAGAAGTCCTCTCTCGAGCAAATATATTTTCATGTGATCGGTACACGGGACCTGAATGGCCTTGCGGTTGAACCGATCAATGTACTCCCTGAGAGTTTCGTCGCTTCTTTGGACGATAGCCTCAAGGGCGACCTCAGTCTTCGGATGTCGATGAGACATTGTGAAAGAGCCGATGAAGTGGTTCTTGAGGTTTCTCTAGGAGGTGATCGACCCTGGGGAGAGATTCTTGTACCAATCCATTGCAATTTTCCTCAAAGTCGTGGAGAACAACCAGAATTTGATCGGTCCCCTGACGTTGTGATAGTGGAGCATTTCCTCGAACCCGTCGATATGGTTGACAAGGTCTGCAATGCCGTCATATTCCTTCAGTTTGGGAGGTTTCTCCATTCCCCTGGGAATGGGCGCCTCCATGATTGCTTGTGATAGGGGACCGCGGGGGTCGTCTTCGTCGCTCCTGTAGGGAGAGTGGGAAGGGGACTGGTTGTAATGGAGGTCGTAATGATGGCCTTGGCCTCGGGGAGGGTCCCTTGGTCGAGGTTGTGTTTCTCTGTTGCCCCTACTTCTGTTTTTAGGGGATCGTCGTTCCCTGCACGGGGGGTGAGGCCGCGTCTCCCGGTAGCTTCGGGAAGTGGTCTCTCCAAAGTGGGGCGTCTCCCAGTGCATCGAGGAGAGCGGCTTCGCGATCTGTCTCGTCTGTTTCTCATCTGGGAGACTGAAGACGATCTTCATTTTGACAGGGAGGTGGAGTGTCAGGTCTCCTGTGTCTTCTGGGGGCTCGGCGAGTATCCTCGAGCATCCTTAACCGCTCACCTTGCGAGAAGATTAAGTAATTTGTTTGGTTAATGGTCGTGAATAGAGCCCTAGTCGTGGCATCAGCGCCCGCGGGGACGGGGACTTCCTGGAAAACATTCGGCTCATAGTTATGGAGCGGATGGGCATCCTTGTGCGGATGAGAGCGGGATGATGAAGAGGAGGTCATCCCGTCTCTATAGTTTTGCTCGAGATCGGCCATGTCGATGTTGTTCCCGACGTTGTTGTTACCAATGTCGTCGCCGACGTTGTTGTTGAGGTTGGCGGGATTGACGTTTAGGTTGTTGTTGGCAGCTGGGTCGGCCATGACAATCACGGAGTTTGACAATTGCTTTAGTCTTAGGTAAATAAAGACGGGGAAGTAGATGTTCCCACAGGCGGCGCCACTGATCGTACCTGACCAGAATGGATTGTCAAAGTCCACAAGCTATGAGTTGAGCAGCAGTTGGAGGTGAGGTGGGGGTACCTGCAAGACACTCTGATGCCAAAGTGAGGTTCAAATCTTAATGCAAGTAAGAGAGCATGAGAGTGTGAATGATTCAATACCTGACCCTCTCAAGTGAGAGGGAATTTATAGCTCCAACGCTGGGCCAAGGTCTCCAACGTTGGGCCACGATGAGGTCCAACAATGAAGACTGTCAGGGCTTATGTGTGTATGGAGTCTAGCACGTGGCCTCCAACCTGGTCAACTGCTCCGAGAAAGTAGGAGCTGGACCCGTTATTCTCGGAGGACAGGATGATGACGATGATACGGACACGTGGACTACGTTCTCCAACGGACATGTGGAGAATTATCCAACGGTCTCCAACTTGAGTTGTTTGCCTTTGAATCTTATACAAAGGTGTGGATAGGACCTCCTCAACGATAAGGTAAACGCTGGCCCAATCCCAATAAATTCTGATATAAAAAATAAAGTTAACTAACTTTGATTAGTAGTGTATAAATAGTTAATTAATATAATACATTTAAATAGTTTTAAATACTAAAATAAAATTAATTAATAAAATTTTAAAAATTAGTTAATACAGTTTATTAAATAATGTTTGAAAGAGATTTTTTATAGGCAATGTTTAAAAGTGGTTAATGTTACTTTTGATAATCTATAAAATGGTCATGTTAAAGAGTGTCTTAGACGCTATTTAAAGATCGTAAATAAAAAAAATATTTTTAAAAATTTAATCATTTTAATTTTCAACGCATTGAATATAAGTTTTTTGAAAAAATATATTTTTTTTATTATTTAAAAAGTTAATTCTTTTAATTTTTAATACATTAAATATAAATATTTAAAAATATTTTTTTTTAAAACTCTTAAAGTCCTTTTAAAACAATCGTTAGCATTCTATAAAATAGTGAAAATAATTCTAAATTATAAGTGATTAATAAGATATATTGTTATATATGGTTAATTAAGTGAATAATACAATTTTATATTTATTAAAAATATTTTTCATCATTTAAATACTGTGAACACTATACAGTATAGTATAACTACTTGGTGTAAAAAAAATGTGTCTAGGTAGCATTCCTAATTTATAAAATGAGTAAACAAACATTAATTTATTAAATCATGAAATATGTGTCACTATTGACCAAAAGACCAATACCACTATTTTGTAATTTAGAGAACTAAATAGATCCAATAACAATAGTTGGATAATATTATGGTTGCACATTTCTTATACCAAATATTTATATTAAGTATCGTCAGCATATTTATACGATAAATAGTATTTTTTAAATAAAAATAATATTTTTATATGAAAATATTTTTATTTTTAAAATTATATTTGTAACAAACGTAGAATTTATTGTTTATCATTTTATTATTGCATTAATTAAAAAAATATATATTATTAATCATATATTTTATTTATACTTCATTAACTAAATTTACGTCTTTATTAACTTATAAATTACATAATATTGATTTAAAATATAAAATATAATAATTAATTTTTATATTCTATTAATTAATTTTACTATATTCAATATATTTCCTAATTTAATATCAGAACTTAATTAATAAAATATAAGGATTAATTATTATATTTTATTAGAATTTGATTAATTTTAAATATTTTATTGGTTAATGAATCAATAAACTTAGTTAATGCATTATAAAAAATATGTAATGAATAACATATATTTTTGTAATTAATTTAATGAAAAAATTTATTATTTATAAAAAAATACTATGCATCGTATAAATATGATGAATAATACTTTATGTAAGTATTTCTATTAGAATAGCATTGCTCTTGATAGTAGTATATTTTTTTAGAACCAAAGTAACTCATGAGTAATTTTTGGCTTTAGTGTTGAATTTTAAAATAAACACACTAGTACAACAAATCCATCACTTTGAAACGGCTTTTGAGTGAACGTGGTGGTAGTAGTAATCTCAACCAGTTTCACAAAAAACTTGTGGCTTATTATTATCATTCCAAATCACTCATACAAACCAAAACTATGTGCTGTTTCCTGTTTCTCCACCAACAAAACCAAAACCACTTGCTTCACAACCCTTTATATACATACATACTTTAATACACACTACACATCCTAATATTCTCTCTTAAACCCTTCTTTCCTTTTTCTCACTCATTGACTTTACTTCCACCACTTCATATCTTTCAAAAAAAACTTAACAAAAAGCTTAACCACATAACTAAGCAATGTGATTATGTGATAATGTTATATTTATTACACATAAACCGATATTAGTGAACTATAATATAGTCTTTATGGAATCCAATGGAATTTTTCCTACAATAAACAATGGATTTATAGGTGTAGAAAACCCTTCAAAACAACAACAAAATTCTCATTCTCACACTTTGCATCATCATCATCATCACCAAATGGTTTCCTATGATCAACCACATCAATCAATAAAACAAACCTATCCTTCTTACTCATCAAAAACCATCAACAACAACAACAACAAACAAATCAACCTCAGCGATGAGGACGAGCCGTGTTTCGGAGCCGACGAAGCCTCTGGTGGTGACCCGAAGAGAAAAGGATCGCCATGGCATAGAATGAAATGGACAGATACAATGGTAAGGCTCTTAATAATGGCGGTTTATTACATCGGTGACGAAGCGGGTATTTCGGAGATAGGTGTTGATAATAAAAAGAAAGTGAGTGGCTTGTTACAGAAGAAAGGTAAATGGAAATCGGTTTCTAAAGGAATGATGGAGAAAGGATACTATGTTTCGCCTCAACAATGTGAAGACAAGTTCAATGATTTGAACAAAAGGTACAAAAGGGTTAATGATATTATCGGAAAAGGAACAGCTTGTAGGGTTGTTGAGAATCAAAGCTTGTTGGATAGTATGGATTTGTCTGCGAAACTTAAAGACGAAGCAAGAAAGCTTTTGAATTCTAAGCATCTTTTCTTTAGAGAAATGTGTGCTTATCATAATAGTTGCGGCCATGGGAACAACCCTTTGCAGCAGCAGCAACAGTCTTCGAACGAGACTCAACCCCAACAACAGCAGCAGCAACAACAGCCTCAGCAGCAGCAGGAACAACAATGTTTGCATTCATCGAATGCGGTGGGAATTTTAAAACTGAAAAGAAAAAGCGGAGGAGAAGAGGACGAGGATGAAGACGAAGAGGATGAATGGGAGGAGGATTCTGAGGAGGAGGAAGAAGAGTCCGGTGAAGATGAGAATAACGATAATTTGAGGAAGAAGTCGAGGAAGGTTTCGGGTTCGGTTTCATTAACGGTGATGATGCAACAGCTGAGTAGTGAAGTGATGAATGTGTTGCAAGATGGAGTGAAGAGTTGTTGGGAGAAGAAGCAATGGATGAAGAAGAGGGTTGTGCAGTTGGGAGAAGAAAAGGTGAACTATAATGTTGAAGCGTTTGAGATTGAGAAACAAAGGTTGAAATGGGAGAGGTTTAGTGGTAACAAAGAGAGGGACATGGAGAGACAGAAGCTTGAGAATGAAAGGAAGTGTTTGGAGATTGATAGAATGGTTTTGTTGCTTCGGCAGAAGGAGATTGAATTGGATAATACTCAGCAGATGCTGCAGCAACAGCAGCATTCTTCTACTTAGAGGAGAGGGAATTTGTGCGTGGATTTTGTTGTAATAAATTAGATCTGCAATTACTTTTTTAGCTTGATGCTTTGAAATAACAAATTCATCTTAAAAAGAAGAAAAAAATTGCACACCCGGTGGGACTCGAACCCACAATCGCTTGATTAGAAGTCAAACGCCTTATCCATTAGGCCACGGGTGCTTCTTGTTAAGGTTTTGTCTTTAAATGTTTATATACCAAATTACACGTAATGATCAATTCAATGCTGATAATCAATTTACACAGTTTAAGAAATTTTGATTAAAATCTTCATTGACAGGGAGCATCAACTTAACAATGTTAAAATCTTTCATGGAAAATAATGCCTTATTATGAAACTCAATAAAACCATATTTAAAATTTCAAAATATTGCGTTCTAAAAAAATATTTTTTATCAATATTAGTTTTTTTCTTATGTTAATATCACGTTAATCGATTTAAGTTGAACCAAAATCTTGTGAGTTTGTCAATCAGTTTGATTCAAATACATGGTCCTATAGAATGAGATCAAATCAAATTGAACTAGTCTGGATATAATTGAACCGAACTTGTATCGCATTTAGTGTTTATTTATTTCAGGTAAATAAAAAATGAGTTTTATAGTAAATTTGTCAACAAATATTTCGTTTTACATATTATCTATACAATTATTGATATCATAAAAAATTATTAAATGTTACATTTTTTGTAATGTCTTATATTAAGATAGGAAAAAAAAAGTAGAATACTTTTATAATTAAGAACAGATAGAATCTTAATCATTCAATTCAATTGTGATTAAATAAATTGAATCATGACCCATTGTTAGAGGCCATCACTATTTGAAGCTAAACTGTGCACGCAGGTCAGGTAACAAAAGCACTAGAGGTATTGGACGTGAGTTCCAAGTCTATAAATTTGTTACTTTGATCTTAACAAGTCAAAAGTTAATAATATGCACAACGTTGAAATTACGACTAATAATGAATAATATGGCCTGTATATTTCTGATTGCAAACATCCCATAGAATTGGTTAAAATAGTACTTTTTTAATAATGCTGATAGAGTGGTTTTCAAGAAAACAAGAAATATCCAGTCAAAAGAAAGAAAAGAAAAAAAGGTACAAGCACCAGTAGCTTGACAATACTATATTTAAAGATAATTTTGAATACTATATTTAATTCAAGCTATGGATTCAAGTACCAACTGTGAGCGGTTTCTATTTGGATTGCAACCCAATCCAGTTCCAAAAAATGACATCAAGGACACACTCCCTCCGATTTTAAGTATGATACTCATTCTCAGTACATAAAATGGTATAATAACTAGCCACCAAAACCCAGTGGAGATAACCTCAAATCGTGAAAGCAGAATGATCTGCTTCTGCCAAAACTTGGTGATGACCAACCACCAAAAAGACAAAAAAAGACGTGAACTGTGTGAATCACTTAATCTTCAAGCTCGATAATCTTAACAACAGATGCATCACCAACTTTCTGGCAAATAACAACTCTATCATGTGGCTTGATGACTCCTGATGTTTTCCCATGATCAAGTGCTACCTTCAGAATAGACTCATTACTGGCACTTGTTGATTCAGCCTGTAGGTAAAGTATGATATCAGTACCTAGTTAGTATCGGATCATCGAATATATATCATGCACAATGAAGTTTAATATTTCAACAGGACATCCTAGGATTTAACATTTTACCTTTGTACTTTCCCTTTTTCTATATATTAAGAAAAATCAGTAATCACTTTTTTGTTTATGAACATTACTAAATTATCCTGTGTATAGCTAATAATTAGGGACAGTCATGGTATTACAAATGCACAAAACTTATCCCATTTCCAGATCTACCTAGGACTATAAGGTGCTTAGAGAGATAACCCTAACTCCTATAGTCTGGCTTCTCCGTAGATTAATCTATATTTAGCATTCAATGCCTCATCCTTCCCCCAAAAGGACAATCTTCAGTTACAAAACAGATAAACTCAAGAAACAACAACTGCAAGATCAAGAACTTACAGGATGTCGAGGATCAGCAAGCATGGGAAAGAGACCTCTTACAATAAGTGATTGCCTTGCCTGTCATTAATTGCAAGTTGGTTAACAAATATGATCAAATATAAACAACAGTACATTCATCCTGGTAAATACAAGTTTGTAATCACAAAAATGTAATGATAGAACTGAGAACAATTAAAGCAAAAATAAAATTGTAGCTTTGAAATAAATTCAGGATTGAGAGCGATTCTCTACAGAACTGACACAGCCTATGACTCCTCAGAGAAAGATTTCTCCGTCTTCTCCGTCCTTACCCATTGTAACAGAATGCTCAAGTGAATTCCCTTCTCACTACATATAACCCACTCAAGGCATAACTTCCAGCTAGACAACCTACTAACCTCACCCTATCCACTTCACTCTTTGGGCCCAGGTTACAAAATGGGGATCCTATCAATACCAACCACTTAAAAACAGACTTGTCCTCAAGTCTAAGGTTAGGGACTGACTCTCTAGACATAATGTCTCCTTCCAATTTTCCTTTTCAACTTCTAAATCCTTCAATTGTATTAGAAATAAAACTCGGATTGGACAGGGATCTTGAACCACCTGGAAAAACCTTTCTCTCAGGTCCCATAGCATAAGACGCACCAGCTATGCATGTCACTGGAGAGCTTCCTCCGGGGTCAAATGTTCTGCATGTGGTGGCATTCTTTACCCTAAAACAATGCACCAAAGTTGTTGCGTTAACATATAAAGGCACTACGCTTACTTTCCTTGCAACCCATTTTCTCTTCTCTTCAACCGCTCCACCGCATCAAAACATGTATCGGGTGTTGAACTTTTAACTAAAACCTGCAGAAAGGTTCTATTAAAGACCCAAATATCAGCAGACTATCTTCCACGAATACCAACTTGACAATAGCATAATTCAGAGTTGTTTCCCAAATTTCCAAAAATAAAGCATGTCTCCTATTTTGATTAGAAATTATGTGTTTTCACAACTTCCAATTCAAGAAGCAGCCTTCCCATCTTGTAACCTGATGCAATCTCCAAAATGACATCAACTTGTGGTTAATATCCTCTTTGCACTTTGTGTAATACTTGAGATTGCAAGCAATCTTTCCTACTTAATTCTATAACATTAGTAGTATTAGTAGTGGTAGATGATGATGGAGTCCAGAAACAGGTAAATACCTTTGATTGTGAATTCTACTTTCAAGGATATTACTCACTTGCAAGACGCGTGCTGAAAATTCTGCACTGAGTAACTTGTGATTCTTTACTAACACACACCATAAATTTGTTGTCACCTCAAGCAAGAAATCCCCCACTCACTTACCGGGTTGGGAAGACACTTCATAGCCATATTCAAATGACCCCTATTGAGTTTGTCGTGGGTATATTCTAGGAACCCCTTCAGTCCAATGTCCAATGAATTGGTAGTAGAGCTTGCCAAGTGAAATTGGGACTTCAATTATATTTTTTAAGACTCATTTTTTCTGCAAATCCAGGCCAGTCTTCAGGCCAGTAGAGAATCCTTATTCAAAGCTGACTAGATTTTATGGTTGTATTGTATTTGCTTTATACCGGATACAGTTGATAAAAGTTGGGAAAACTTGCAGTATAAGTATTTTGTATTATAATTTATAGATATATGCATGTAAAAAATATCAACTAGATAGAAAAATTACTCTAGATAAAATTTCCTTCGTCTCTGTAGTAAAAAAAAAGTTAATGCAGTCGAAAATTCAGAGAGTTTTGTTAAAAGAAACAAGAAATTTTGTCTAAGAGGGTCTTATATTTAGGGGGTGGAGGGAGTAGCATAGTAGTACATTAGAAGTAAATAAGCTTTCCCACAAATGTATTGGTAGTTGGTCCTGGAAACAAGAAACAACGGAATAAATTGTTTTTATTTAGTAATGAACAAAAAACAGATTTTACTTTAAAATGCCCTCATTTTAAAAAACCATGATGTTGGTCTCTTTTTTAAGTTTTAAGTTGCAATTTTAGTCCCCTTTCTAGTTGTGATGATGATGAAAAAGGAACCAAAATTCAAAATAAAACTTAAAAAGGGGACTGAAATTGCAACTTAAAACTTAAAAAAGGGACCAAAATGATGATTTTTAAAATGAGGGGACGGAAATTCAAAATAACTTTAAAAAGGGACTAAAATGGTGGTTTTTAAAATGGATGATCAAAATCAAGAAAAAAAACTAAATAGGAGGACCAAAGTTGCAATTAAGCCAATAATATTTGGTGTTATTGTGAAAGGTTACTTGTTAGTTAATCATTGGGGTAAAACTCATTTTACATTTACAACAATGGCTATTGACTCAATTGACATAATTCATAAATACCTCCAAAATTTAAATTACCCAATTAAAGAGGAGAGAATTTAATGACAAACAGAAACTCCCATATCACATTTTATCTCTAAAATTAGGCAACTTAGTATTTATTATGGCTATATATCAAAGTCATAACAATAAGAGGGTCCAGTTTATTAAAAATGAAAGAAGCGCCAGTCACATCCATGGATACCTAAAAGTAAATAAGCAATCCATGGACAGCTAACAGGATATAAGATGTAAATGAGACAAAAGCTAAAATCTAACCTCAAAAGCTCCACTAAAGCTCCATTTTAGTTGATTTGTCTTAAGTCTGGGTATCACAACAGAGAGAACCGGCATCGTTGGCCTGTACTTTGCTATCAATCTGAAAAGTGCACATGGCAAGTTTAGAAAAGTCTTCCCGAGATTTGTGAAAATACAACGAATACAAATTAATATGAATATTAATTTATCCATAGCACTCATTTTCCATTACTTGATCCAATTCGAAAGAAAATATCTAGTTCAGTTCTCCTTCATTTTAATAATTCATATCCAATTATTCAAAGAATTTACCTTGCAGCCCTTCCAGATGAAGTGAAGCAAATGATAACAGAAGCTTTCACCTTAATAGCTGCACGTACCTAAATAAATA